TAATTAATTAATTATTAATTAGTTAGTTAAAGTAACTAATTAATTAATTAACTAATTAATTAATTAATTAATTAATTAATTGATTCTTACTTCGTATTTGTCTTGTGCTGCAAGTTCTGCTGCCAAAGCTTTCATGTAATTTTTCACTTTTTCGCTTTTTGCTTCTTTTGCGGCAAGCTGAAAAAACATTTAATCCATTTTTTTGCAAAAGCAATAATCAATTGAATAATTAATTAATTAATTAATTAATTAATTAATTAATTAATTAATTAATTAATTACTCAATTAATTAATTAAGTAATTAATTAATTAATTAATTAATTAGTTGATTAAGAAATCACAAATGAGTAAATGAATAAGTTTGTCAAGTATTGATACGTAAACAAATAAATGACTAAATAAATTAATCAATTAGTTGACTATGAAGAAAATAAACAAACAAATAAACAAATCAATTATAAATAAGTAAATAAATAAATACATTAATGATTGCCTTCTATTCTGAGAGTTTTCTTTCTGTTCATTTACTAACGTTTGAAATTAAAATAAATTTCTTTCATCTTTTTTATTTCGATTCTTTTTTTGAAATTAAATTATGTCCTTTCTGTCTCCTTTTTGTTTGTAGAAAGAAAAATAAAAGTTTATGTATTTTATTTCCTATTTTGGGAAATTAATTTAAAGTCTGTTGAATAAATTAAATTAGATCAGCTGAAATAATATAAATAAATTATATTATTTAAATTAAATTCATGTAAGTTAAATTAAATTCAGTCAAACTAAATTAATTTAAATTAAATTGAATTAAATCAGTTTAAATTAAGTTAAATTGATTTAAATTAAGTAGAATTAAATTAAGTTATAATCAAATTGAAGTGAATTAAATTAAACTAAATTAAATTAAACCAATTTATATTAAGTTAAATTAAATTAAACTAAATCAAATTAAATTAAATTAAATTAAATTAAATTAAATCATATTAATTTACTTTTATAGCAGCTGCCAATTGTCCCTTTTCCACTCGAAGACGAACAGCTTCCTCAGGCGCTCCTGCCTAGAGACAGCAGCAGCAGCAGCAGCAGCAGCAACGGCAGCAGCAGCAGCGGCAGCAGCAGCAGCGGCAGCAGCAGCAGCGGCAGCAGCAGCAGCGGCAGCAGCAGCAGCAGGAGAAGCAAAAGAAGCAACAGCAGCGATAAGCAGCAGGAGCAGCAGCAGCAGCAGCAGCAGCAGCAGCAGAAGCAGCAGCAGCAGCAGCAGAAGCAGCAGCAGCATCAGAAGCAGCAGCAGCAAACTGCTTTAATGGCGAATTGCGTCTTTTAAAAGAGACAAAAAGCGATTGAAATAAAACATAAAAATGCATTTAAAAAAAAGATTCAAAAAAGGTGAATTCAATAAAATTTTTTATTTCAATTCTTTCTTTTAATAATTTAATTAAATAATTAATTAATCAGCAAAAACAAAACTTGGGAATGTAGTTTAATTTAAATTGAATAAAATAAATAAATATATAATGAATGCATACGAGTAAGCAAACAAATATATATATATAAATGAATAGCCAAATGTATAATAAATAAATAAATAAATAAATAAGTGAATAAAAAAAATAAAAAAATTAATAAATTAATAAATCAGAAACAAAAAGCTAGCAAATAAAGGAACAGACGAATTCGAAAACGGAAAAAATTAAAACTGAAACAAAATAATGAACAGATAAAAAGGCAAAAAGTAAATACAAATAAATGAAAGAACTAAAGACAAATAAATTTAAAAAAAGAAATAAAAAAGAGGCAAAACCCAATTAAAAAGTAATAGAAATAAATAAAGTAAGACAAAAAAATGAACAAAAATAAATAAAAGACATGCAAAAGAAATAAAACCAAATAAAGCAAATAAACATTCCCAAAAAACGAAACAAAAGGCAAAAAAATAAATTAACAATAAATAAAAAAGAAATAAAAGCAAATGGAGAATAAAACAATGAATAAAAACAAATAAATAATAAAAATAATAAAAATAAATAAATAAAAATAAAAAATAAAATAAGAAAAATTACCTCCAGATAAGCCTCTGCAGCGTCTTCGATTTCATTTTGGTCTTCAAGTTTTTTGGCGACGAAAAAAAGATTTTGGAAAACATTTTTTTTCGAAAAAAAATGATTTTGAAGTATTTTTTCATCATTTTTGGAGCATTTTGGATTAAATTGAATTGCATTTTTGAGTTCCTTTTCATTTTGGGATTCTTTTCCACTTTTTATTTCTTTTTCTTCTTTTTTTTCTGCTTTTCTTTTCTCTTTTTCCCTCATCAAAATCCTCTTCGACTCTTTCCAAAGTCCCCCTCGAATTGCAACCCCAAAAGCCTCTTCGGCATTTCCCGCCCGCAAGTAGTGTTTTGCTGCAGTCCCCAGCTGCAGCAAAACAAAACCCTCTTATTTATTTATTTATTTATTTATTTATTCATTTATTTAGTCATTTATTTATTCCTTTATGATATTTTCTTGTTTATGTATTTATTATATCTTTTTAAGTGTTTATTTGGCTTTTATTTGGCTTTTTGAGGCTTGAAACGACGCGAGGGCTGCTTCTCTAAACCCTAAACCCTAAACCCTAATTTAGGGTTTACGTCTCCTTTTTCTAGGCAGTCTTCCGCCCAGTCTTGGTACACTTCCGGCAGCAAATGAGGAGCAGCAGAAGCAGCCAAAGAGACAGCTCTTGGAAACCTTTTGCATTCTCTGCAACACGCCCAAACCCTAAACCCTAAACCCTAAACCCTAAACCCTGATTTAGGGTTTCGAGGGAGTGAAGGACGCATGGAGAGGCACAAATCAAAAAGAACAAATCAAATAACAGAATGGAGCTAAAACGGGGAAAGAAATAAAAAAATAATTTAAAAATAAAATTGAATAATGAACTCAATAAAGAAAAAATACAAAAAGTGAATAAACTGTTTAAAAGTTAATTGAAAACAACAAGACCAACAAATGCGGGAAACGTCGAAAAATAATTAAGTAAAACTCATGAGAAATTAAAGTGTGCAAAGTATAAAGTAGGGTTTAGGGTTTAGGGTTTAGGGTTTAGGGTTTAGGGTTTAGGGTTTAGCGTTTAGGGTTTAGGGTTTAGGGTTTAGGGTTTAGGGTTTAGGGTTTAGGGTTTAGGGTTTAGGGTTTTAGGGTTTAGGGTTTAGGGTTTAGGGTTTAGGGTTTTAGGGTTTAGGGTTTAGGGTTTAGGGTTTAGGGTTTAGGGGGGTTTAGGGTTTAGGGTTTAGGGTTTAGGGTTTAGGGTTTAGGGTTTAGGGTTTAGGGTTTAGGGTTTATGCAGGGCGCGGGAAACACCCCCGCGTTGGTGAACAGTTTGTTGACTTCGCTGTGCAACATTTCGCCCTTCTTTAGGGTTTAGGGTTTAGGGTTTAGGGTTTTAGGGTTTAGGGTTTAGGGTTTAGGGTTTAGGGTTTAGACCACTGCGAGAATAGTGACTGCGAAGGCCTCCAGGTGGCGCTTCACGAGGGGCAGTTTGGAAGACAGCGCAGCCAAACGTGGCGCGGTACTACGCGGACGCGAACGTAAACCGCCCGAGGCAGTATTGGGGGTTTAGGGTTTAGGGTTTAGGGTTTAGGGTTTTAGGGTTTAGGGTTTAGGGTTTAGGGTTTAGGGTTTAGGGGGGTTTAGGGTTTAGGGTTTAGGGTTTAGGGTTTAGGGTTTAGGGTTTAGGGTTTAGGGTTTAGGGTTTAGGGTTTAGGGTTTAGGGTTTAGGGTTTAGGGTTTAGGGTTTAGGGTTAGGGGTTTAGTGTGAGTTACCTCAGCAGCTGCAGCGCGCCTTGCCAGTCTCCAGTATGTTCTTTGAGTTCAGCAGCAGTTTCATTTAAATTAATTTTAATTAAACTTTTGACAATTTTTTCAATTAAATCATTTCCAAAAATACTTTTTACTTTTTGCTGCAGCTCTTTGCTGCACAGGCTGCGCTGCTGCCCCGCTGCTGCTGCTGCTGCTGCTGGTCCTTCAGCAGCAGCAGCAGCAGCAGCAGCAGCAGCAGCAGCAGCAGCAGCAGCAGCAGCAGCACCGTCGTCAGCAGCAGCAGCAGCAGGAAGGGCCCTGATTACTGCAGCAGCAGCAAGGGAGGGCACTGCAGCAGCAAGAAAGTGTTTTGCTGCTTCTGCGAAGTTTGCTTCTTTGAGATAAATATTTGCTGCTTCTTCAAACTGAAATAAAAGAAATAAAAAAAAAATTAATTTAAATAAATAATTTATTTAAAACAAATTAAATTAATTTAATTTTAAATTCATTTCAAATTTTATTTCCAAAAATAAACACTTTCTGCTGCAGCAACTCCGAAACACTTCTTTGCCTTCAGCACACGCTAAACCCTAAACCCTAAACCCTAAACACTAAACCCTAAATCCTAAACCCTAAACCCTGAACCCTAAGCCACAAAACCCTAGTGAATTAAATATTCAATTAAATAAATGTTCATTTAATTAATTAATTAATTAATTAGCTAAGTAATCAATTAATTAATTAATTAATTAATTAATTAGTTAATTTCAATTAATTAATTAATTTGCTGCGGACTCTTTGTTCCTTCAGCAGCCACTGCTTATACTCTTCGTTTGCTGCTGCTGCTGCTGCTTCATCTTGCTGCTGCTGCAGCAGCCGTATCATTTCTGGCCACCTGGAACAGCAGCAGCAGCAGCAGCAGCAGCAGCAGCAGCAGCAGCAGCAGCAGCAGCAGCAGCAGCAGCAGCAGAGCAGCAGCAGCAGCAGCAGCAGCAGCAGCAGCAGCAGCAGCAGCAGCAGCAGCAGCAGCAGCAGCAGCAGCAGTGCACTTGCTTTTTAAATGCCACCAGCCGTACATACATCATATTATTTGCATTTGCATTTAATTTTTTTTAATTTAAATTTATTTTTTATATTTTTATGATCGGCTTTTAAAAAAATAAAAAAACAAAAATAATAAACAAAATAAATAAAAGTAAATTAATTAAAATAATTAAATATTTATTTAAATTG